TATATTATAATTTTCGTTAATGTATCAAATGATATATATATTTATTATTATTACTAAATAAATAAAATTTTCATATTATTATTTTTATAATATTACTGATAAATTAATATCAATAATATTATTAGTATATTTATAGATAAATTAATAATTTGATAAATATAACTTATTATATATTAATATACATTTACAAAAATATAAGTATATTACTTAGAAATATACATATCTTATCTAAGTTATATTTAGTAATAATAATAAATATATATCATTTGATACATTAATGAAAATTATAATATACGTTAACTTGAATAGATAAATAATTGTATTTTTTTAAAAATATTGTGTATATATATATATATTAAAATTATTAAATTTGTAACGAGAGAGACTAAAATTTCACAATTATGATATTTGAGGGACTAAAATTGCACAATTATGATATTTGAGGGACTAAAATTGTTCAATTAAAAATTAAAGAACCAAAATTGCACAATTACAATTCTTTAAGGACTAAAATTACCCAATTAAAACCTTAAGGATCAAAATTGTACAATTACAATACTTGAGAGATCAAAAATGCAATTAAACCTATTTATATAATGACAAAGTTATTTTTACCTAATTATAAAGTTATATTGAAATTTAATTTATCTTGGGTGAAAATGTTTTTTTTAACCACATTGATTTTAAGCATTTTTCTTCTATGACATAATTTTTTAGGATTTTTTTAAAAAAATTTATCTGTTTCAGTTTTATTTATAATTTAAATTTTAAAATGTATTGTTGTGGTCTTCCAGGCCTCAGTCGTAAGACGACCATGCCCTTTCCCATAAATTGTTAGGAGCTGAACACCCAAATCGGTGGAGAAACATATGAGGGTACTCAAATTTTGGTTGATTAACTACTTCCCTAATCGGACAACAAATGATGAAATCCCGCGATTTTTAGAATAGGTAAGATAATGACCATAAATGTCAAGATCATGGACTTGTTATTAATAACAGTAATGACCCAATGCAATTCCTTAAATTTGTTAAGAGTTAGTTATCAGGACTAATATCCTATATAAAATATTCTCTTATTATTATTATGTAATTTCCTATTTTACATTGTAATCTCTTTCCCTTAAATCATATTGATTACCTCACACAAATTGTAGTGAGAATTATCGCATCTTACATGGTATCAAAGCATTCCAAACATCCCGAGCAGTGTCAGCACTGAGTGTCTTAGAGAGGGCCTCCTTGGTCAAGGAGGAAAGGAGGAGACTGGTGACGTTCGATCTTGAGCCTGCCATTGAGCGAACCAAGGATTCAGAATAGAAACACCGGTGTGTAAACCTGGAGAGGTGGCAATAGCAAAGGTTTTTGCTGCACAAATTGTGATGGTGGTTCAACAAAACCATCAACAATGTGAAACAGATTCTGATTTTGAAGAAGAGAAGTAACCTGTTTACGCTAGAGAAGAAAATTCTCAAAGTTAAGCCGAATGGTGATCATGTTAACCAAGATAGCAAACGGTAGAGATGGAGGAGTCCCTTTTCATTTTCTTTCTTCTCTTCCTTCACAACCAACCCTCACTTTCACTCTCTTTGGATTGAAGGTGCTGAGTAAGTGTGGGATTGTTTGTTGAGCCGTGTGGAGCTTCTTTTCTTCATCTTCTTCCCCATTTCTTCTCTGTTGAGCATTTTCTTCTTCCCAAAGCTCAGATTCTTCGCACCAGGGTAAGAGAAGTTAGGTTTTTGCTGTTTTTGGTTGAGAATGAGTCTTAGAAACTCATTAGCTTCTTGTTGATGGATGATCTTTAGCTGAGATGGAAGAAAATTAGTTTTCGGGTTTTCGGGGTTTCGAGTGAAATTTGGGTTTTTCTTGTTTGATGTTTGCATGCTGAAAATGAGGTGTTTTTCTTGATGTTTGATGAAAATGTGGTATTTTGGCTGGTTTGCATGTGTTGGAAATGTTGATTTTTGTAGGTTTTGAGCAAGATTTTTGAAACTTGGCGAGTTGCTGCGGGGCATGACGCCAGGCGCAGTTCTTGGCACCGGGCGCGTGACTACCAGAGGGCTCCATTTGAGCAAGCCCACCTGGCGCAAAGATGTGTGCGCCGGGCGAGCTTGAGAATGTGAGCCTCTGGATGGCCCACGCCGGGCGTGGTAGGACCACATTGGGCGCGATATCTGTATGTGACATGTTTTTGGGATTTCTGGTGTGGCGCCGGGCATGACCACGTCTCGCCGGGCGTGGAGACTCCTTGGGAGTCTTTGCCAGAGGTGGCGCTGGGTGCAATTGATATTGCGCCAGGCGTGAGACTTTGGGGAAGTCTTTGCTTACCCTGCGCCGAGCGCGGGTTTGCACATCGAGCATGTGAGACCTTTTGAGGTCTCTGCCTCCTAGCACGCCGGACACAATGGGAATTGCGCCTGGCGCGTTGGGGCCCTGATGCTCTCTGGTTGTGCCACGCCGGGCGCGACCATGAGTGCCCTGGGCGCAGGTGTGATGGTTACTTATATGCTGTTATGTGTTGAATCATGTTGAAATTGCTAATAGATGTTGTTATATGCTGAGTTGAGTTGTAAATGATGAATATTGCTGTGTTGTTAGATGATAATGATGAATTATAATATTGTTGTGTTGTGAGTTGATTAAGCTGGGCTGTGAGTATTTAAGCTGTATTTTATGATGTTGAGTTGTGTTGTATGCTGATAT